ACCCTGAGTCAGCTGGGATAGGCTCCGCCCCCCATAGTGAGGATTAAGGTGTAGAGATGATGGATGGCTTAGTTTGACTTCAAGGGATATTCAGAAATTTGTAAATGACCGTGACTTATTCCCTGCCTTGTGCTTTTCAATAAACCTTTTGTGGAGGTGCTCAGAGTGTTCCTTCATCTTGATGGTGCATTTAAGGCAAGAAGAACTGATTCCCGGTGACAGGAGCTTCCAGATACATGCGTCTTTAAACAGTCACTGTGCTCAGACGATTTCCATTTCAGTCATCGTGTGACTTCTCGCAGCAGTTGGCTGCACCTGTGCTGACTTTGGTGAGTCGCTCTGAATACTTCTTTACATTTTCAATTCACTGACATTACTTTGAGAAAATCTGTTTTCATTTTGGCATAAAAGAGAGAATTCATGTTGTAAAAGCCAAATAAAAGCAATAAACAGGGTAAACTTGGGAGGGCTGTGAATACTTTACAGATGCTCTGTACACAAGTTAATTAAAACTCACCTCTTGATGGTATCATGCCAAGTTCTGGCTCCTCTTTGCTCCTTCTGACCTCCTCCCCCGTCTTCATTCCCAGCTGCAGACACAGGTCCAGAACCATCATTATGTTCATGTAGACAGCAGAAACATCTTCTGTCCACTCGCGTAAGAATTTCACTTATAGCGGAGCAAAAACAAAAAGAAGTCGCTATCTGCAATTTAGCTTAGCTTAGCATCAAGACTGGAAACTGGGCTAAATGCTTCATGCAAAGGTCAGATCAGATATCAGAGGTGGCTGCAGAGAAGAAAGAGCTCATTTGTCTGTCTGAACTGACCATAACACCATAAAACCGGAGTCACGCTGCAGCCACAAACGAACTGGAGGCTTTATATCAGGGGCGTTTTGTTGTCCGCTTGGACGGCTGCAACTCTCAGACAAAGATACACGACGTCAGCTTGTGAAGGATCAGTTCTGAGATGAGGACAGACGTCTAAATTCAGAAAGATAATACCGTGTGCATTTATTTAATGATGCACAAGGTTCGGATGCAGAAAGTTTAATAACCATTAAATATTTTTTTGCCAATCTGCAGTATTTGTCTCTGGTTTAATAACAGTAACAGGTTTCTGTCTGAGGACCGAGCTGTGATTCTAATAGGTTTCAATCCGGCACCAACCACCAGAGGGCGCCCTGATAACAGAAATGCCTCTGCAGTGATTCCCTCTGTTCCCTCCATCACACAGGATCTCCTGCCTCTGCTCTGACATGATGAATTTCTCACACACTGACTCGTATCCCAGCGTGGTTTCGTATCTCATATGTGGCTCATAAATTCAGCAACTTTCAAACAAAATTTCAAAAGTTTGAACCTATTTTCAAATCCCCAGGATGTTTCCCCAGACAGATCTAAAAGAAAATTCACCCGGTCCATTCCCCAAAGACTGGATTACAGCCCACAGCAGCAGCAGTTCTTGGGAGTTTCTGGGAGACTCGTAATGCGATCTGGATCCCTGCATAAATAACTCGGCTGCTTTGTGAGACATGCATGGACTCTCCCCCCTGAACTCACAGTGTCGTCTGGAGTATTGGGTCGCCTGGGTTCGGGTCGTCTGGTGGCGCCAACGTGCTCCATCCAGGCGTCGGCCCTCTGCTCGAGAGTGCTTCCCGACTGAAACACAAATGTATAGTGTCCCCCCGTGAGTAAGTAAGGATTAACACAGTTAGCAGCTTATGCTACAGCAGCTTATGCTAATGCTCATTTGGCCAAAACAAATAAAAAAGAGTCACTCATTCACACGCATGTATCCTCGGAGCTGCATGTTGGACCGGGCAGATCATGCAGGAGGTCATCCACACATTTATTCATTTATGCTTAAATGGGAAACAGATTTATTCTAGAAAAGAAAAGGCGGCCATTTAGGAAATCTGCTTCAGTCAAAAAGGACAAATCTGCAGGATTTCCAGTATGTGAAGAGTTCAGACATATGAGAGGTCAGTCAGAATAAAGATGAGCACGCTGGTGTCAAATGAGGAACAGGCCCAACTAGGAATCGATGAGATGAGTCCAGTGGGTCGAGCATCACAGCTTCTGAATTCTGTGGAATAGTTTTTTGTTTGTTTGTCTCTTCAGGCAGATGTTCGATGACACATTTACACATGTTTAGACTTTAGCACCATTCAGACTGTGAGGCTTTGGGAAATACAGAATCAGAACCAGAAATGCTTCACTGATCCCAGAGCAGGACTCGCTTCAGAACTAAAAGTAGAAAAATATGACCTAAAGCCATAAACGTGAGCGACAGTCTGAGCCTGACGGCGTGATGAGCTGTGTGTTGTTGTTACTGGGTGTTAGCTCCAGACGGGACGTGAGCTGAGCTGGACTGATGCTACGAGGTCACGTTCATCAGAAGGAGTCTTTACATTTCCAGCCTCGGCTGGCTGTCAGGCTGTTTGTCTGTGGCGCTCGTAGCCTCCAGTATGTGTGCAGAGGGTTAAACAAACAAGCTGCTCAGATGGCGGGTCAGCTACCGTCCACCGCTGTGGTGTCAAAGGGCTTCATGGAGTCCAATGATCAAAACACAACCAGGCCTCCGAGTGTGAACGTGGACATCCAGAGGAGGGCCTGGATTCTGTCCGTCCTCGTCACACATTTAATGAAGTTAGTGTCATAAGAACGTGAGTGTGGAGGTCAACTACTGAATCTGTGTGTGGTCCTCCAAAGCTGCTGTTTGACCCGGATGGTACCGGAGCGGCGGCGCTGACGTCTCATCTTTACACATTGTATGGATTCTCCTTTGACTCCGTCTCAGTGTGTGCTGAGAGCCGATGAGATCAAGCTGGTCCGCTGGACGGCTGCAGTCAATGAGCCACAGCAAGCTCTGAATAAAACAGCAAATTCTCAGAATGCTATTTGAAGGAAGCTGCATACCTTATTCATGAGCTGGGCGATGGACTGGAGCAGGCCGCAGTGTTTCTCAGCCAGGAAGCGGTACCGCCTCTCCTCCTCCACCAGAGCCTGGCCGTGGCTCTCCCTCAGGAAGTGCACATACTCACTAGAGTCCTGAGGAGACACATAATGGACACGACATGTGTACACGATGGCCGACACACATGCAGACACACTGAGTTTCCCTCCAGGCTGCAGACTGACCCACACTGACCTGGCTGGTTCCTCTCCTCAGCTGCCGGTCCAGAGCTGCTGCCTGGTTGTGGACCTCCATCTTGTACTGCTCCCTGCTGCCCTGGAGAAGAATTCACATCACATCTCTCTAAAATCCGCCTCAGCGCTGCAGATGGTGTGCTACGGTGAAGAAGTTTTCCCATTTACTGTCCAGCTCTAAAGGCTTTTTCTGAACTCGCCTGGAGGCGCGATGCAGCGTTAATAACGACATCTCTCCCTCCAGGGCCACACAGCTTCTTTGCAGGTCCTGATCTAATCCCATCATACCCTGCAGTTGATATTTTAATTCAAGAGTTTATTGTCATATGCACAGCAAAACAGGTAGTTGTACTACACAATGAAATTCTTACTCTGTTCAATCCCCTGAAAAAGACGGGGGGGGGTGGTGGTTAAGTTGCAGTAGGCTACTGGATAAAGGGGATAGGATACATCTGCCTAGTTTGGGCCAGGGGCCAGTGGAGCGCAGCCGTTGCCTGTGTTGTCTTTCTTTTTTTTTATGAATTGAATTTCTAAATAAAGTGTTTATTCTTCTTGTACCTGATTTCGTCTGCTGTCTGTGAATTGGGGGATATCTGGTCTTGTAGGCGGGTGCTGTAATTTTGGCACTCGCGACAATAGCTTGTCAATGTCCAAAGAGGCCCCTTTTGACCTTCTGATGCCCCGCTTGGTTCCCACTCACCGATAAGAAATCTCTGTCCAGCTGAATGTTGTTGTCCATCTGCTGGAGGATCTCCCGACTGAACCAGTGGAACTGAATTAAAACACACACACCTGAATCACAACGAGCTCACAGCTCACAGCAGCCCAACACAGACACCAACAGCTGGCCGTCGTTACCGTTCCCTCCAGCTCCAAGGTGAGCCTCCGCTGGCTGTCGGAGATCTGAAGCAGGACATCTCCTAGAAGACATGTCAACGAACAAAGCCTCGTTAGCTACAGATCAGCCTGGCACTGTTTGCTTTATAAGAGCTGGACAGCAACAGGCAGCGACTAACAACAATCCAGCTTCCACTGATCGCTCCAGTCTGGTGACACCAGAAAGTCCATGTGGGTTCTGATAGTGTGACGTCCTATCAGGAGGAAGCTGGTTTTATCACCGTTATCACGCTGATCAGACACTCTCTGGTTTTTATGTGAGGAGTTAATCAACACAAGAGGCTGGATTTATCGCATCACGTCGCTGCTTTCTGCTAGCGTAGCACCTGCTCTGTCATTTGAGACAGAAAGTAAAGCAAATTCGACTATTTATATATATTTGTACTGTGCCACAGATTTGAAGACCACCTTCAGTGAGAATCATGTTTTTTTCCCATTAGCACGTCCACATGGAGTTTTTTTATTTGCTAAAAGAAGCTTCATGAGTCTCCAAAACCTTTGCAGGTGACGGACCAAAGGAACCAATCTACGATGGTGTCTGCCTCGTTATTCTACTTTCTCATCGTGCATGAATTACTCCTGCTATGATTTGCCTTTGTGCAGCGTAGATTACTTTTACGGTGTTTGAGTGCAATCACAGGTGAGCTGGTGTGCTCAGGCTGCAGTATGCAATGGAAACGTGTGAGGATTTCATAAATCTTCGTATTTGAAAGGAAGTAACGCTGCACAGCTCCGTGCCAGCCATCTGAAGGCAGCACAGGTTTATGTTCTTGGAGGGAAAAAACTGTTAAAATATCAGTTACACATGCAAAGATGAGTTTTCTGTGTTTAATCAACGTCTGCAGAGAGTTTCCGCCCAGACGGACTTTGAAAAGCAGAACCACTGCAGAGGAACCACTGCAGAGGAACCACCTTTCAGAGGAACCACCTTTCAGAGGAACCACCTTTCAGAGGAACCACTGCAGAGGAACCACTGCAGAACCACCTTTCAGAGGAACAGACGCTCGACTCTGTGACTGAAATGCAAAGACTGCGTCTGTGGTTACCGTCTGGTTTTCCATGTGTGAATTTCATCCACCTGCTCACCAGGCCAGAACCAGGCCAGAACCGAGCCAGCGCCACTGGCTGCTCGTGTGTTGGGTAGTTTTGACCTTCTTCGGCTGAATGCTGCGTTCTTCTGCTCATCGATCGCTCAGTGAGGACACTTGAGCTGGTGGTTAATCTTTACTTTTATGAGCTCAGCTTCCTGGTCGTCTTTTCAACACCTTTGATCCTGTTTGTGAAATCTTTCTGTTTCCTGAATTGTCAGTTGCCCAATAAGTGTTCTGGCAGTTTCACGATTGCTGCAACTTTTATTGGAGGCGTGCTCAGACCGGTGCACCTTCACTCCTAATAACAGGGCCCAAAAACATCTGATAAAGGCATGAACCCACTGCATTATCAGTTCGTATCATACTGGAAGGTGTTCAGAGGCGTTGGGCCCGTTTAGCGTGGCTGTCGCTGCACAGGTGCACTGGTGGAGAGGCTCATGATCCGGCCTCCACGGTGTCTTCAGCTCTTTGCTGTTTAACCTGACATTGCTGTGTTTCTTTAAAGCAGCCGGGTTAAGTGAGCGGCCTGTCTTCATCTATTATTCATGTTCCTCCTGACATCTGACACCTCCACTCACATACATCAGCTGGAGTCGTACAGTTAGAAAGCCACTTCATCCACGTTCTGCCTGATTTAGTTCAGTCTGATTTAGTTCAGTCTGAGCTACGTGTGAAGACGTTTCAGTCTTTAGGCACTGTTTGAAATCTGTTCATACATTGAAAAACCTCCCAGTGAGGTGCTGCACATCAAAGGGAATGCTAATCGCACACGAACGCGCGTCACAAATGCGCCGTAATTGTGAAAGAAGTAATAAAATGCTGCCGGAGGGTAAACTTTGGTTTGAACAAATGACCATAAATGCATCAAAGCAAACCGCTCACGTCCTGGCGAGGTTTAGAAATGCACGGCCCTGTGTTTCCTCCTGATAATCTGGACTTTGTGCAACGTCAGCGGGACGGGGTTGGTGCTCACCTATGGAGCGCGAGGACGCCGAGTGGAAAGCCTTCTCCCCGATCTTTGAGAGGGCAGTGAAGTAGGCCTCGCTGGTCACGGCGAGAGCTGAAACACAGAGGAAGGAAGTATGAGATGCTTTTGTCATTTCTCAGACTCTGACGTTACGGCTCAGCCTCCTCGGAGGTGGCAGAGACGTGTCCATCCATCCATTATCTACACACCACTTCATCCTCACCAGGGTCATGGGGGGCTGGAGCCTATCCCAGCTGACTCAGGGTGAAGGCAGGTTCACCTGGACAGGTAACCAGTCTATCACAGGGCTACACTTAGAGACAGACAACCAAGCACACTCACATTCACACCTACGGACAATTTACAATCACCAATTAACCTCAGCATGTTTCTGGACTGTGGGAGGAAGCCGGAGAACCCGGAGAGAACCCACGCTGCACGGGGAGAACATGGAGACTCCACGCAGGAAGATCCCGGGTGTCCTCACCGGGACGCGAACCGGCGACCTTCTAGCTGTGAGGCGCTAACGGTGCTAGCCACTGAGCCACCGTGCAGCCCACAGAGACGTGTCTTCATCTATATTTGAGGTCTGCGTGCTGCTGCTATCCATCACTTGTTGATGTTGTGTTTGTTCTCTTACATATATTAAACATGCTGGATTTCATTTTGCCTTTTGCGCTGCACAGGGATTAGCTGCGACGATGGTGTGAGTATGAAGACATGAAATATAAATGAACCGTGTCCATTTAGAGTCCGACTGATCCTGGAACGAACTTGTCTTACAGGATTTATAGGAAGTATAGTTAAGGAGCACAGAAATGTGTTTCTACATTATCAGGTCTCTATGTGGTGTTTCTTGACATGTTGAAGACACATTAAGAGCAAAATAAACAGTTAAAGCAACAGCTGAGCATTTCCCCTTCAGACTACTGATGGCAGCACACACCCAGACTTCTGGGGTTTCCTACATCACTGACCGGAGCCCACTTGCCATTCTGTAGTATTTTGCAGTGCAGAATTGTCGGTGAGCTGGTGTGCTCGAGCTACTACAAGTGTCAGAGATTTGACAATAAGATGTGCATACTCTAGACGATGTCGGCTGCATCTGTCTTTACATCCATCTTAAGGCCTGAAGGGGTTATTTTAATGGGCTGGGGTGAACAGAAATGCACTGTTGCCCATAAAGTTGGAATAAATGTAGTTTTCAGACACATTCCTCTTTTTATTTCTATTTCTACACATCAGTGATCCCTGTGACCAGGTGCAGTGGTCACACACTGAGTCTCAGCTAGCAGGGCTCTGGTTCTGAGTCCAGGATGATGCTGCAGACTGGGACGTCCTGCTACTGGCTCCATCAACCAGCTGGTGGACAGAACGCCACCATGTCTGAACACATTGGTCCATGTCAGGGGGCCAGACTCAGTATTAGTGACATTTAAAGAGTAATATTGGACATTCTGATGCATGAAATCCCCTCGAATATGTGTCTCCTGCTACATGACCACGGTTGAAACTAAACCCTTCATCCTGCTGTTCAGGACCTCCAGTTTACTTTAAGCCTGAACACAGTTTCCAAAAGTTAATTGTGGTTTAATTTTACTGTGATGTGTGTCGTATGTATATTGTGATATCAGTAAAGTTTTGAGAAGGTATACACTTTATCTACCAAGAATAAATCCCACCGTCCATCATTTCATGGGACGAATACGAACAGCTTCATGGGCAGCAGCACACAATGACTCCTGTTTCTGCCTCTGAGAAAAAGTCAAAAATCTATTTAGCCAAATGTGCACATCAGGTTTCTGAGCTGAGAAAATCCAATCCGGTGTGTCTGTAGATGCCCAGATATGACGTCCACCATCAGAGACCATGAAAGGCCTCTAAGGCACAGTGTCGTTCACCAGGTCACCGGCTGTCGGCCTGCTGGAGGCCAAATCTTCTTAGACTTGTCGTGTAAGAAAGAACAATCCGCCTCGGGAGGCTCTGGACGGACGTCTGAATGTGACACCATCCCCCCCAAACGTCCCCTGGCTTCAGCGAGCCTTCAGAGACAGCAGGACAACCTCATCGGCTGTGCAGCAGATCTGTGGCTTCTAGTCTGTGAGCCTGCTCTCCATCATGTCATCATGTCCAGTGTGGTGCAGACTTCATTCTGCTGCTGATGTGCAGCAGAAATGAACCAATTCCAAAAGTAGACTTTGATAAAACAGCAAACTTTTATTTATTTTTGCTCATTTTGATACACAAACATGAGCTTTTAAGGATTTCCTGAAAACCTGAGGGAGAGATTTAAAGTCATAATGAATGGCTGCTTGTGCACCGGCTGATGAATTATCGCCTTGTTTGTCTTCTAACAGGTCGTCATAGCAACCTCTGTGACTGCTCAGAACCAAGCCCATAACAGCAGCAGAACATTGCTTAAGCACATGAACTTCGGACCCTGCTCCACCCGACACCACCCGGGTTTGTTTAGTTTATAGCGCTTATAAAGTCCGTTTGTCAGGTTGACACAAAAATAGCTCAGAACTCAGAGGCTGGTGAGCAAAGCGTCTCCTTTCCTGGTTTTTGTTTCTTACCTTTGAAAGCTTGGACGTAGCTGTTTCCCAGCGAAACCAGTTTGAGTAGACTTGGGTTGAACTCATCTATCAAGCTCTGTTGGAAAAATCACACACAAACCACAACTCAGCGTGAAAGTCAGAAAAAAAACAAACTTTTAGACCCACCGAAAGGAAAACCAATAAAATTCATCTTTAATTCAGTCAGTATTTATGAACCTCTCCCTGCCGATACTGGAGCACAGACAGCCTCCCATTCAAAGCTCTGCTGTTACCAGTGAAGGAAATGCCATCTGAATTGGAAAAAAAGACTTTTATGAATTCACATCGTGTCTGCTACACATAAGAGACGAAGTGAGTCTCTGTCCTCAGTAACCGAACCAGAAACTGGAACCCGTTCCTGAAGAATCTCTTGAAAAGTTTGTTTATTTGACTCATGTAGAGTTACTTACCGAGTAAATCCCCAAGGTGGAGCGGTGCAGCTGATCGGTACTCATTCCCGCCATGTCGGTATCCAGAAGAGCGCCACAGTCGATGAAGCCCTGAGAAGGTCGTGCGGCGGCCTTAAACCATCCAGCAAAATGCAGCACAGCCTCTGAAGGGAACAGAGTTAATGGTGTTGGGCTGGCCGTGGCGCTGAGGAGAGGAGGCAGCTCTGTAATCGACACCGCTGTGGCCCAAGAAAGACAGGAGTAAATAATTAAACGTGGCTCAGCCATAAAACACACTGACACATGCTGTGTGATGTGGTGTGTTTCTGGCAGCGTCATGTTTTATTCAGGACGATACCACAGATCTGTTTTCACACAGTAGCAGGAATCATTAAAAACAACGAGAACCATCCGTCATTATGACCACATTAGCATCACTTTGTCACTGTGACCAATCCAAAGACTGAATGTGAGAGTGTGTTGGTTTGTGTTTGGGTCTTCGTGTCTGTTCCTAAACTACCAGAAACCAAATATATGCTTCATTTAAGCAACAGCAGAGGATTCTCTGCCACAGGCGCTGCTCTGACGGGAGTCAACGCTGTATTTGTTCAGGACTGTTTCCTGGTTATTACACATTTGCTGCACTGGTGAGAAGCTACAGGATGGCACGCTGTCCGTCCAACACCCACGTTAATCAGAATTTATCATAAACAGCAGAAACCAGAAGTTTCCATCCATCTCCTCAGTATCTGCTAGCGTTGCCTTTAAACTCTATGACTTTGGGTCAAACGTTCTGGGTTTCCTTCCACAAGCTTCTCACAACAGTCTGATGAGTTCTGGCCCATTCCTCCTGACAGAACTGGTGGAACTGGGTCAGGTTTGTTGGTCTCCTTGCTCCACTGATGTTCTCCAGGATGGAGATCAGGGCTTTGTGATGGCCACTCTGTTGTCCTGAAGCCTCTCTGTAGCTAATCTGGAGCTATGCTGAGGCTCATTGTCCATCTGAAGACCCATTAGTGTCCAAGCTGTAACCTCCTGCTGCACACACCCTCAGAGGTTTGTTCCTTTATTTCCTTGTAAAGAGTTTGAGGGAGTTTGGACTTATCTTAATTAATTGTGCTAATGATGGAGGGTTTATTTTATTATCTTATAGGCTATGAGCCCTTTAAAAGTCATAAAATGCTCGCTGTGACCATGTTGTGTGTATATCTACATGCACATACTGCATCAGGCCAAATCAAAGCTGCAATTTTACGACTTTTTTCTCTGAAATGGGAAAAAAAAAGAAGCAACCATCACATTTTGGCAGCAGCCCACTCCTCAGCGCTCTCGATGCCCAGCTGAAATACCCGCTGTAGGGCTGCTCGCATCCCGCAGCTGTGATGGATTCATTACTGTCAGACTGAGGGCTGCTTCCTTCCTCTGACATGTCAGAGGCGGTGGACTCGGCGTGAACTCGCTGCAGAGACATGGAGGTTCTGCCCGGACGGTGAAACACGGTGGATGCGTGTCGAGAGTCCAGGCGGGTCGTCAGTAGTTTCTGATGCCGTTAGTTCACAGGCTAATTGTTCAGAGCTTAGCATGTGACAGGCTCTGCTGGAGAGAGACGGAGCGGCTGCACAGTAGATGGCACCAGAAACTCAGAGGAACACGACCCGAATAGCAAACACACCTCAGACTGATTAAATCCCTGCTCGGCTCCTGGCCTGCTGAGTACTGACGGGAACAGGCAGCATTGCATCAGAACATTAAATGTACTCAGAGTACTCACAGCACCACCACCAAAACATAAAAATACTCCCAGCAAGTAAAAGTCCTGCATTCACAAGCTTACAAAGTAAAAGCACAAATACAATCAAAGAAAAGTGTTCAGTCTCATATATATGACAGGTTCTGGACTACAGGTACTGAGGATTCAGTCTCATATATATGACAGGTTCTGGACTACTGGTACTGAGGATTCTGTGTCTGGGCTGAATCTGCTGTATCGTCGGTCTAGAACACTTTATTTTTTATGATGATTAGCAGATTAATCTGAGCGTCATCAAATGATCAGCGTGAGAGTTTTTTCTGATCTTTTGGAAAGACGTTGGATCATTTAAAGTTGAATGAAATGAGAAGCATGTGTGTTGAGTAGAGCTGTGAACGTCTGAAATGTGACCTCCAAGAAGCCAGAAAAAGTGGAAGTTGTTGATTTAATGTCCGTCTGCGTGGTTTCTTTTTTTATATAAACGCTGTTTTATTATCCACTGTGTAAAACGTTCAGCTTAACCTCTGAAGTCTCGCTGACAGGAAACAGCGGCCTGAGGAGTAAATGCTCCGCTAAGGACTCGCTGTACCGGAGGGACCGGGTTAAACCCAGTTACTGTCCACCACTGCAGACCTCCTGGCAGTGACTGAACCTGTTGGATGTTCACTGCAAACCTCAAACTTCTCAAATGTTCTGCATCCGTTTCTGCACCACAGTGGAATTCACAGGTGACTAAATAAGAGCAGGACCAAGGCCCGGACAGCTCAGAGGCTGCATCAAGACCAAAGCAGGACACAGAAACAATGATGCCAACAAGCTGGACATAACGAAGGAACGCTAATTTGCTGTCAGTGAGTCAGAGACCAACTCGCTTGCATGCAACGATTTCTACGAACAAAGAAATCTCTGCTTTCAGACTTTCAGCAAACCAGCCGAGCAGCACCGATCACAGATTGTGAAAAGAACGAGCAAAGTGCCCCGACAGAACATTTCCTACTAAGGTGAGGTTCAAAGCTCCGACATCTCAGCAGCGCAGGTCAGAGGTGACTCAGATGATCAGTCGAGCTCAGACTTGCTGCCCACAGAGTCCCACAAAAAGCTTTTACAGAGACAGCAGATCAGCAGCATGTTTGGATCATCAGCCTGCAGGAGAGCCGAGGCTTCACCCAGACGGACCCGATTCAGTGCACTCTGATATCAGCTGCTGTGGGCCGAGCTCCGGTGGTGGAGGCTTCAGTCAGCTCAGCATCCCGTCCAGCTCTGTACTTTTCAAGCTGAACACAGCCAACATTGAGACCATTACACTAACAAGGCAAATAAGGACAACAGGAAGTGCTGCTGCAGAGCTATTTTGGGCCGAGGACGCCACCAGTTCGCCTGCACGCTGAATACAAATGTGTGGAGCTCAGACATCGTTATTACCCCACTGACTGTTCTTTTCCCAAAGCCTCGTCCTGATTTCTACGTCATGATCTCTGTTTTTACTGTTCCAGTGAAGCCCAGGAGCTCCGTCCCCCATCTTGAATCTGGGCTCTCACCCTATCCCCACCTCCTCCATCCTCAGCACCTGCCTCAGTGCCTGCATTTTCTCTTCTCCTGCAGTTTTATATTTTAATTACATGCATGCATCACACTGATATTTACACATCTGGGCCCAGGCGAGCACAGAGATGAACATGAAAGCAGGTCTTCATGGCGCTCTGCAGCCACAAACCCACAGCGGGGTCATCATTCTGTCATGTGTGCTGCTGTGGAGCTGCTCCACCGGCTGACTTATGGCCACGGCACAGCGCTGGAGCCTGAGCTGGGAAGTGTCGGCCCGGGGGAGGAGGAAGCTCATCTTCTCATGTGATGGGGTTTGTTGTGCATGCAGGCGGCTGATGGTGCAGAAACACGTGTTCAACAAGCAACAGAAGTCACAGAAATGGTTCTTGAGGATGAATGTTTGCTAAAACCCCAAATGCCCTGATCTCCCCCTATCCCTCCTATCAGGGGCTTTTCTTTCCCCCCCAGGCTGCTGCACCAGTCCTGCCTCCATGTCTAACTTCAGCTCTCTCTCCCCCTCATTCCTGCTCGCTGTTAACAGGCTGGATTTTGCCTGAACACGGAGGACATGCGCGCTGAGCAGGAGGAGGTGTTGGACGGTCTGAGGCTTCACTGATCAGTGATGGTGAGCAGCTCGGAGGTTCTGGTCGCTCGTTCTCCTGGAAGAGGAGAGAAACCGTGAAGAGTGATTTGATTTGATTTGTTTTTTCCTTCCTTCTCCTCTCACCAGTAATTAGACACTTTCTTGTTGCTGTTTTTGGACCTGTGTTCCTTCCACACCAGCAGACTAATTATTAGATTTTCTAATAATCGATCCGCTCCGCCGCCACCCTGAAGTTCATCGTGATCATCTTGGCCGCCGGGATGGTGGCCTTCATCGGAGCGGTTATCTGCATCATCGCGGCTGTCCACACCGGATCCTCCAAGGCTGCTGCGGCACAACAACAGCCGGCGACCGACAACCACTCGCTGTACCCGGACGGCGCGGCGCAGACCCCCGCCGCGGGGGGCTCCGTGGCCCGGGCCGGATCTCTGGGAGCTCTCCACGGTTCTGAAACGCCCGACTCGGAGGCGCCCACCTTCAACATCGGGCTCAGCGGGCTGGACGGGGTCACCGGACTCACCGGACATGACCCCACGGTCAGCCGGCTCATCTGCACCCCGATCCCCGCCGGAGAGTGCAACCCGAAAAACTTTCAGCAACAAGCGGACGAGCCGTCGCTGTACGCGGGAGAGGACTGGGGCTACCTCCGCACCGCCGCGGAGGAGCTCCGGCAGACGGTTCTGCAGCAGAAAGACCAGATTCTAACGGACCAGAGGACCATCAGGGAGCTGACGGGGAAACTATCCGAGTGTGAGAAGGGGCTGGACGGGAAGAGCGGCGGCGGCGGCAGCGCGGACCGACGCGGGAGCGCTGCCGCCGGGCTGCGGGGGGGCAAAGGCGCGGCGGAGCAGGAGGCGCACCTGGAGCGGATCATGGTGCGGGACAGCCCGGCTTCCACGCACGACAGCGTCCATCTGCTCACCGTCAGAGCCGTGGACGAGCTGGAGCAGGCCATCACTCAGCTCAAAGACCGAATAGAGAAGCTGGAGGTAGGAAAACACACACCTCATCCACCCCGGAGCCTGGAGGACACCTCCTGGAGGGGGGCTCAGTCCCCAGGAGCAGCTTCTGCTCTCACGCTATGTGAGCTTCAGACAGAAGGAAGGATCCTACAGGGTCCAGAGGTGCTCCTCTTCCTCCTCTAGCTGTAGAAGTCATCATCTAGTTGACATCCAGGCCTACATCTGTCTCCTCTTCACTCAGGAGCTCCTCTGGCTTTGGTTTATGAAAGCAAAAGCTTTTCCATTTTGAATGAGAACAAAAGGCTGAACCAGAACCATGTTGTTCTAGCTCCATCTGGATCATCTTTATTTACAGAACCGCTGCTCATGTTCATGTCTTTGCTTTGCCTTGGCTGCAAATTCTAGTTTGTCAAGCAAACAGATGGAAATGAGAATCTAAAGAAGGCTGGAGGGAGCTGGGCTGTGGGTGCAGGAGGAATATAGCAGAGCAACATGTAACAGGCTGACCGCGCTCAGATGATGAATAACCTCGTTTTTATGTTTCTGGTTAAAGAGAAACCATCCATAATGTATGAGCTGCCTGCATGTGTTGCTCTGCAGCAGAGTCCTCACTCAGCGCTAGCTTATGTAGGACAGGCCGGCCCGGCTCATGTCTGGCTCTGTTCAGGCTGTTTGAGCACTTTCAGGTATAACTGAAGACCTTCTTTGTCCTCCTGTGCACGTTTTGCAGCGTAGACGTGAGCAGATGATGTTAAGAGCAGCATGTTTGCCTGTTTCCTCGGTGCAGGAGCTCCTTGGCCTCCTTCACTGCTGGTGTTTACATGTGATGTGGTGCACTGATGGAGAGCCTCCAGCTTCCTGCTCACATTCTCTTTTTGTGCTGATCATGCATCATCTCCAGAAGCTCTCGCTCTTTCCAGAGAAAGAAAATAAAATCTGTCATGACTCCTGTGTCCGGACTAGCTTCAAAGCCAGACCTGGTGGTTCCGGCGCTGATCATCAGTTATCGGTTTCCACCCAAGCGGAGGCGCCAGTCGGCAGCTTGGGGCTCTCTGTAACATGCCTCGGTGTGTGCTTGAGATGTGAATGAAGGAGCGCCGTCTCCGAGCCGAGGCTACGTGCTGATGCTGTGCTGCTAGCGTCAGTGTTTAGCTGCTCATAGAACCACGACCTTGTTTCCGTGCAGCTACTTTGCATGAATTAAGCCAATATCAGCACGATGAGGTGTGAAGTGGCTGCACAGGGTGAGCTCTGTGTCTTTACTCTGGTGCATGTCCACCAGATAAAAAGCATTCCTGCTCCTCAGAGGCTGAACCTTGACTCTGCCATCGCGCCAGCTCCTATTCAACTAAACTTCAGTATTTCTTAGAAGGAATGTATTTAGGCCTTAAAACTATATGATGTGGGAGATACTTCAGCTTTTAAAGAGTCAGAATCAGAACCAGAATGACTTATTGCCAAGTAGGTTCACATGTGAGGAACTGGACTTAGTTTGTTTTTTTTGTTTGTTTTCTTAAAGATATTTTGGGGGTTTTTCCACCTTAAATGATCGTGACAGTGAGACGTTGTGAGGAGAGTGGGCGAGCGACATTAGAATTAGAATAGAAGAATAAAACTTTATTAATTCATTTATTATTAATCCCTTCGGTACAAGACCTCAAGACATGCAGCAAATGAGCCGCTGGCTGGAATCGAACCGCGGCGGGGATTATAGTCCCTGTACGTGGGTCGCCCGCCCGACCCGCCCGACCCGCCCAGCTATCCAGGGGTCCAGGACGTTTGTGTTTTAGTGCAAAATGTAGATTAAAGTGTTGACAGTTGTAGCTTTTAAGTGCACAAGATAAATAAGATCAGTGTTATGAGTCAGACAAAAATGTAAACAAGAACCTGAAATGTGCAAAAGGATCATCATAATAATAATAATAATAATAATAATAATAATAATAATAACCCTACCCTATGTTGAAAGCATCGTTAGGTCTACAAACCTGGTTCGATGTGGACATACACACAGCATGCTACAAGCCTGGGTGCCCCTGATCTGCCCTCCTACACTCAGTAAATGCTCCACATGTCCTCCCCTGCCACCCATGTGTTGTCATTTCCTATTTATTCCCACTTTCTGCCCGTCTGTTAAAGAAAGATTTAGCAGAAAGCCTGAGCACGCCCACTCGTGTCCTGTCTGCTGCCCACAGTTGGCTGCGTGTCAGATTCTCTTCCTCCTACTTTCATCAGTACCTGCAGCATCCCACCAGCAGTGCAGGTGACGAGTGCTTCTTTCAATTGAAACCGATGTGCACGTTTAGCTTCATAAACACAGGATCTGACGAAGGCGAGCGCTCCTCCACACGTCTGACAGATTCCAGGTTTTACACGGTGCAAAATATTGATGTGAAAGCTTCTGCTGAGATCCGCCAGAGCTGTCAAGATCAGATAAACCCGTCATTTCAGCCTGTTAATTGCATTATGAGGCTGGAGCTGTGGTGGTGAACGGAGGCACTACGTACTCGCTTTTGAGGATTCTTCCTCCATTTTACGGGTTTCCGTGGCGATGAGTCCAGTCCCATCCAATATGTGACGGGTCGGCTGAGAAGGAGCAACAATATGCTTAAAAGCAGTTTGTGACATGTTTCAGACAAATATAATCTGTTACCCTCAAAAATGTAGTGAAGGATGCAGTGTGGTGGTGTCGACTCAGGGTCCACACAGAGCTTCTAGTTCAGTCACGTTCCTGGAGAACCATCTCATCATCACTCTGGTGTCGTCTCCACCGTTCCTGTCCTGGTCTGGCCTTCTTTTACGTATTTTAGTTCAGTAATCGATCATTTTGCTTTTCTACTTTACACACTCTGCATTTCCACGTTATAGTTTCTGGGCAGCATCTGACTCCAGAAGTTCCTTCAGGTTATTAAAGTTTCATCTTAAATGGATCACCTTCACCCAGGAAGGAACTTACAACCTGTCTGATGCTCCCTGTGACTTTTCCTTCAGTGTTTTACTTTGTTAAACTTTGGTTTGTGACCAAAAACCTGCAGAACTGTGGAGCATGTTTAGTGTCGACTAGCAAACGTTTCATCTTCAGGCTTCATTGTGAAAGCAGCAGAACAGCCGACTGTCATCAGGAGAAAAACATCTGGCAAGAATGAAAGGAAGAATAAATATATTGCAAGAAAAGTCAAATCTGTAACAAAGATCCCAAATCAGACAAAGACTACAAACACTAATGGAGCAAAACCCTCAGCTCTAGGCAGGAGCTCGAGCAGTTTCAGTATTTCTGTTTCCTTTGCCGTGTGGGATCCACCATAAGGCCACATAACAAACTAGAATTAGCTTCACCCGTGAAACCACGACGACACTGGAGGGAACTGAGATGGCTGCTGCACTGCTGTTGGCCCATATGGCGGGTTTTACATCCTTCATGGAGATGTCTGAGAGGAGGAGGGTGCTGCTCGAAGAGAGGGCAGAAAAAACAGCGCTTTAGTTGCTGTCTTCCCCAAGTTGAGCCAATCAGCATGAAGCTGCACCCAGCAGGTTCTCAGAGGCGCCGTAAGGTTCCTATCCTGAAGCAGGCGTCCTGTGGGGGCGGCGCCGGTGGCCAGAACACGCAAAAGGTGGAAGTTCCTGCAGTGGAGAGCAGCCGCTCAGAGTCAGTAATACCCAATGACGTACGAGCAGAGCAACGCTAACGCTAACGCTAACGCTAACGCTACACCAGATCCATTTTATTCTCATTTATGTGTTTGTGTCTGACAGGGCGTCACAGTTTGAGAGTTCTCCTTCTCAAAATGTTTGACACCTGCACATGTAAATACCAGAAGCCTGGAGCTTCACCCCAGGCTCCTCACACACCTGTCAGACGCCTTAGTGAGAAGATCACCCACCACACAGGTGCTTCTGATTCCAGGCTTCCTGTCGGCATATTTTGAGGAGATGCTTCGGTTTTGTTCTATTTAGTTGTTGCTCATAAAAAAATGTGATTATTACAGTTACTGTGGTCACACAGAACATACGAATGCATGTTTCCCCACGTCTGCCTGCATATGGATGAATCAGTATGAACGAGCTGTGCAGGGACGACGTATCTGATAGAACTACAACAGAATGGAAATAATTCAGTTTACAGCAGAAGTCATGTAGAGTTCTTCTCAGTATGACATTACAGAGAGTCCAGCAGTCCTCTGAGGCAGTATCTGGTCTGAACATAACACAGAAACGTGTCCGGCCAAAGTAAACACAGATGAGCAATGATGGACAAAATGCTTTTTAAAATCCACCAAACAATGAGACAAGATGCTGCAGCAGGAAGCCTCACAGGCCGTCACAGGAAGCCTCACCGGCCCTCACAGGAAGCCAGGCGATGTTACAGCAAACCTGAAGACAACACACTTCAAATGACAGCCACCGACTTACCTTACACAATACTAGGCTTATGGATAAATAGATAGACAGCATGCTAACACAAAGTCCATCAATCATCTCCTTTCTGGAGGCCCAAACCAGTTCTCCTTCAGATTCTACAGCTCTGCATCGCATTCTTTAGAGACGGGTTTAAAGCTGTATATTCTCATGTTATTGTCACTGCAGGACGTTCTCCCTTCTGGAGGTCCTGAACACATCATGTCTGTGTGTTTCCCCGTGTCCCTGTGGCTTCATTTATTTTAAATGCTCATTACAGAACAAGGTTCTTGGTGAACACACTGGAGCGGGAAGCGTCTCTAATTCCCACGTTCCTCCTCTTTTGAGTTTTCTCGTGGAGCCATTATGCAGCAAAGTCTATAAATTTGCTGCTCACTGAAATAGTTCTTTCTCTTGGCAGCATTTCTGGTTTTCTATTATTTGGAACGTGTTGGAAAGACGGAAAAAAATCCCCGTAGACGTGAGCTGGCTCGGCTTCATCAGGAACTGACCCAAAGCTTTGTGCGCTCACTTGGGTAAAAATGAGAACTTCTAAAGCGAAAACTTCAAACTCAAAATAGCATCCGACAGAATCAGTGATAAGCAAAATGCTGCTCAGAGTGGAAGCTAAGCTGCTGCAGAGTTCAAACAAGGGAATAATCATCAGGTTTACAGAAACTACTTGACATTCTTGCCAAGAGTTGGGAATATATACCTCCCTGGTGTCTGGTGAGTGCTGAGCTGGCTGTCAGCTAGCTTAGCTTAGCATGGATGTTACAGCGTTGATATGTGGGAATATTGTCGTCTAGAAACACTTTGACACATAACATCCCATAGAACCCACAAATGTTCATGTTGTCCCAAAATGCTTTGCCGGTCCTTTAAGACACAAACAGCAGATTAGCTGCAGCGCGGGAGCCTTCGTACATCAGCCCCTAACCCCAGACCTACTGCCATCCTTCACAGACATCAGTCATTAACTGGCTCTAAGAACTTTACATATGCATGCAGGCGACACATGATAGGAACAGCGGCCAGATGTTTAGAGATAAACACTCGTAACGGAGAAAGCACAGCTCTTACCTCAGAGTCCAGTTCGCCACCAGTTGACAGCCACCGTCTCCTTTCTGTACAGTCAGACATTGGCCCGTTTCCTCACAACCAGACGGACAGCAACACCTCAGGAGTGCCAGAGGAAGGCGGGATGTCTGGCGGCCCGGAAAGGTTGGCCGATCCTGGGCACAGAGCTGGTGCTGACAGGCCCTGGAGGATGGAAGACTTGGAGGGCGAGCTGGAGAGGAAGGTGGAGCTGCTGGAGAAGGAGAGAAAAGCCCTGAGGCTGGAAACAGAGAAGCACCGACAGGAAATCGACCGGGGCATCAATAAACTACACCACCGGATCTCAGGCCTGGAGGAAGGTATTCAGGGAAGGAGGGGGGAACAGAACACAAGAACAAAGACAGAGTGTGTGGTTGTAGTTTCCACTGATGCACGGTGACGTTTAATGTCCTGCATAACAACCTGAGCCCTAATGATGGCAAATAATCGAGTAAAACATGACCTCAGAGGTTTAACTTTCATTTCCTCCTAATAAAATCAAGCCATGGGGGTTCTTTGTGATTAATAAATTATGTAAAAGAAAATAAGAAAAGATCAGAAAGATTGTGAAATTGCCACTCTGCTGAAAAGAAAAAGCCACACGAGATGTTTGGCTGTGAAGAAAGCTCAGATAAATAATAAAAGCAGGATTATTTCATCTCTCTTTGACAGATAACTGAATTGCTGAACAGCTTTCTGTCTGTATCCTCTGCTCACTGCAGGCCATTCCTTCCCAGAGGGCTACCGGCTGTCCTTCCCAACACGGACCAACTACATGTATGCGCTGGTGAAACACGCCGTCCCAAAGCTGCGGGCCTTCAGCGCCTGCCTGTGGCTGCGGCCTGCAGAGGGCGGCATCGGGACCCCGCTGTCTTACGCCGTTCCCGAGCAGCCCAACGAACTGGTGCTGCTGCAAGGCCTGCACTCACCGGCCGAGCTGCTCGTCAATGACAAGGTACGGTAGAGACGACAGCTGCAGCTTCCCACGATGAAACGTGGAGAGGCCGAGCGTCGGCTGCATATCTAAAGGTGTCCCAGGGAGATCATGTCGGGCTTTGTGGGTCGTATTTCACATTATTTGATGATTGAACTGCATCTGCACCTCAACACAAACCTCTTTAGACTCTTTACACAAAGCATCTCATTAACGGGAATATATGCATCCACATATATTCAGATGGATGACAAATGAAATAAAGAAACACACCAGAAAGCGCCTGAGGCAGGTGCCACTAGCATAGCGTCACTGCACCTTGGCATTGAGCTGTAATGGACAGTTCAACACCGTAAGTCGACTTCACTTTGAGACATAAGATGAAAACACAAACTACCATCAGTTAACAACTTGTATAACTGAACTAGCTCAACTGACTTAAGATGTGTTACGGTGTACCAGACAAGTAGAACGCCATCCTCCCAATAGATGCCCCCTGATGTGGTGTTGTGATGGTGGTGGTGGAGAGACAGACTTAACCAGAATTGTTCAGAGGTATTTATCTATGTTGAGATCCAGTTTCAACCTCTGGGGCTAAAAATGAGGCCAGCATGAAGTGCTAATAACTACAGTTCCTCCAGTGACCACTAGAGGCTGGCTCCAAAAGCGAGTCAGTCCCCATAGACCCCAGTGTTAAAATGCTAGACTTTACAGCAGAAATTAACAGCTTGTGTAAAAAGCTGTTGGTGTCTATAGCTCATGTTCTCCAATCATGACAATCGTACAGCGCAGCCATTTAAAGTGGGTTCAGGCTTAAAGCTGGGCCAGCCTGACGGTACGGCCCCGTTTCATGGCCCAGTTACGTCTGCATGGCTCGCCTCCGCTCACTCGTTGTCTCATTTGTAGATGAGATGGTGCGACCACGCTGAGCTTCACCGCTGCTCTTCTGGCACACTGTGGGTCACAGAGGGTTTCTTCCTCTTCACATACGGCCAGTGGTTGAGACCACGGCATGTGACTCACATCATTTTCATCCTCATTAAACCGTTCAGCCGCCCTCGTGCCCTTTGGACGACAGCTTGTCATCAGTCAGCTTCACATTGCCAGCTAAAGGCCTCCCTGCAGCAGACCAGATCCCCAGATCCCGTCGCTGTAGAGGTCAAGAGTTCACGTTTTCCCTTCAGTCCATCACCTTTATAGCTCGGCTTCAGGATGCTAACTGCTAATAGCTTTCCTGTTAGCTACAGTGACTGGCTGTGAGTCTGCAGCGCTAGCAGCACGGTATACACACGGAATGCAGCAAACTGTAGACACGTCTGTTTCTGCTGATAAATGATGATCCTCCTAGAAGCGTCCTAGCAGAGTTTTCCCTATTGCTTTTCACAGGGTTCACCCCAGGGTATATATAGCTTTTAAAACATTACAGCCTCCGTGTGAATTCCTAATGTCTATTAAGAATGAAAAAGCGCCCCGTATTAGCATACAAATAAGGAGAACACGTCAAATGAAACGGCCAATTTGGCAGACAAGCTAAATAGCTTCATTCATGTGTTCAAATCACAGGCGAGGCTGCAGGCTGCAGCGCAGGAGCTTCTGCTGTCATTCACTGGACTCATTATGCTAATAGATGCCTGGAGGAAAGTTCTGTGTCCTTGTGGACAGCAGAACGTCTTTGGGACTGTAAAGAAAACGCTGTATAACCAGCTGAGGACCCTGAAGACTCCAACATGAGACTATACGTCGGCTTTGTGTCGCTGGCTGCCTGCCGCCTGACGACTCAAACCACCAGCTTCATCTACCCCTAACCCTCTCGCTGCTTCATTCTTAGGTGACACAGTTGCCCCTGAACCTCTCCAGAGGCAGCTGGCAGCACATTTGCGTGAGCTGGACCCAGAAGGGAGGAGCGTGGCAGGCCTACCAGGGGGGAAAGCTGAGGGGCGAGGGCCATGGACTGGCCACGGGACATCACATCAGACCCGGAGGAGAGCTCGTACTGGGGCAAGAGCAGGTGAATAGTGTGCTGGAAAGACTGAAGGAATAAATGAAGTTGGATCTGGTTGGAGGCAGGCTAGGCCGGCAGTTTGCTTCAAAATAGATCTAATTTGGCGAGAGAGACCTTGAGACTCCTGCGGACTCCACTCACCTCCCTGTGAGTTGTAAATTAAAGCATGAATGATTTCTAGAGTCACTGTGAAAACAAACACTCCGTTTGATTTCCTGCCAAGTGAAGCCTTGAGGTAGTGGGCTAAAGTTGTTGTGAATGAGTGAGCGTGATGGTCAAGAGGAGATCCCCCAGAGCCAGAAGAACCCTTCCCATATGGCGGCGTTGACCTGCTGTACTGGTAACGTCTTACTGCATCTCCTTCAACTCCCCCAAAGGGATTTCACAGTGTTGCCCACGGCAGCAGCTGAAGCTGTGTTTGCTTAAAGGGGAAAGTGTTTTTCATTTTGAATCATCCCACCCTCTAACGGCGGTTGTCTTTCCCCTGCAGGACTCCCTGGGTGGAGGTTTTGACTCATCCCAGGCCTTGGTGGGAGAGCTGTCCCAGGTGGGTCTCTGGGATCGGGTCCTGTCGTCCTCCCAGGTGGCCACGTTGGCGCGCTGCGGTAAAGTGACCCAAGGCAGCGTGGCCCCCTGGACCGAGAACGGGATCGAAGTTCACGGCGGAGCAACCAAAGACCCGGGCGAGCCTTGCAGCAAACACAGCAGGAGCTCTCAGTGACTGACGGGGAGGCGTTGAGGACGAGAATCCATCCGTCCCGTATCAGTACCGGATGTTGTAATCACTAAAACAACTTTTAAAACTCTATGTGGCATGGGATGACAAATGTGTAAAAAAAACTGATGGTTTATATTTGCAGAAGGCTTTGCTCACCACATTTCTCAGTCAGTGCTCTGGTGGAGGTCCAGCGGAGAACTGGCCAACTCAGTCCAGCTGCAGATCGGGTTCAGATCACACGATGCGTTTCCTTTATCAGTAAAATAACACGATGAAGCACTTTGTTTTCACATTCACTCCACATTAGGCTAGCATACCACGCGTGGCTGTTCCGACCAGCTAGCAGTCCTATTACGATAATTATCTCATGTTAATGACAGTCAACGAGCCAGAACACTTCCATGAGCTGTGAACGAGGAGGAGGAGCCATCGTTTAACAAAAGCAGAGTTACATGAGGAGGTGGATATCTTTCCTCCATTAACCATTAGCAGCCTGCTAGCTTAGCTTAACGAACCACCAGAAGACAAATTCAAGGACAAACCAACATAAAGCTGTTTTGTGGTTCGGGTTATGTTACCAAGCTCTTCACAGTGCTTCAATTCTGGCTTTTGATTTGGCCGCCGATTTTTTTTTTCTGTTTTTTGGCAACAAAAGATGAAAAATGAGGCTGTAAGAAACGACGGAGGTTTGTCACAGTGAGCATCTCGTCTTGGTTCCTTGGTCCCACAAACACTTGATCCATCTTCTGGTGTCTAAAAAAATGTTGTTTGTACTCAAATGACATTTATTGCATTAATTAGTGAGCTCTGTTGGGTTAGGCAGCAGATTTTGTGGCCTTTGGACAGTTTCCAGTCTTTATGCTAAGCTAAGTTAGCGAGCTGCCGGTGGTAGCATCCTGCTTCGTCTACATACATGACAGTGGTATTCATCTACTCGTGTAACACTTTCTAAAAGGATGAACTTTTCCTTTAATTAGTTCAGATTAGTGGAGATGATTTCATTTAACAGTAAAAAAGAAAATCTCTGCAGACATGAACAGTTCCTGCTCGTTCTGGTTGTAACGAGTTGTTCCCAGCTGCTCTCAGCCTCGGAGAGCTGACCTCCACTACGAATGCCAGAAGTCGTGTCAAGCCAGCTGAAATCCCTCCATGTGTGCAGCGGGGTCGGAGTGGAGTTAATTAAGGGCTGTGACAGCTTTAGAGTTCAGAGTCAAGGTAAGGTGATGAAGAGTGTTGGAGAAAGCGACGGGAATACTAAGTAGTAGATGGCAGCAAGGAGCAGATGATGAAAGACAAAGAAAAGAAAGGAGGAGGACAGGAGGGGGAAGGAAAAGATGAGATGGGAGGAGTGACGCTGCGCTGTTCTCACCTCTGCATGATGTGTTGGTATCCTTTAACGAGGACTTCCTGCATCCAGCCTTCCTGCATCCTGTTTCTGTGTTCGTCTGTTCTGCTCTGAGGGTCCTTCACTCGTTCATTATCTGGATTCCAAATCAAAGTGAGAAGAGAAGTCCTTGTTCTCGAGGAAACTGGCAGAATGTTCCTGTTTCCAGGCGACATTTACTAATTTACTACAAGCTTTTCCATATTTGTGTCATTTAGAAATGAAGTTCTAATCAAAGAAGCACACACAGCTCAGCCACAGAATCAGAACCACGGAACCACTCACTTTATATTGTATAGGTGCTGCACAAACAGTTCTGACCTGTTGGGCCATGAAAATGGGCTCTCTGGGGTGTCTGGTGGGTCTGGGCCTGGCTCCGCTGGGTGGCAGGATGGGACCTCGATGGAACGGGCTTGTTCGGGCTCATCCCGTGGATGTTCCATCCGGTTGGAATCAGCTGAGACTGAAGGGCTGCTCGACACCTTTTCTTGAGCAGTTTCTAGTGTGTGGAGGGAACGTTGCCACACAGTGGTTCTTCTGCACCAGTGCTTCGGTGGAAGTAACGTGGTTTTAATGTTGTGGCTGACTGGTGTTCCTCTAATCTTGTTGCACATTTTCTGTTCTTCGATGGTCTCAAATGCTGCCATCAACAAACACAGCGAAACTGTCTCATAACGTGCTTCAGATACCGACTGTTTCCACTTTGATCCGTGCAGCCTCTGGACGAACGAACAGCCTGCAGCCTCCGACTCTTTCCCCTGAACAGCATCCCATGCATGAGTTGTACTGTTTGTTTGTGACAGGCCTTGATGTGCTTCTGAAAAAATAAATCACATCTAATCGTTATTCACGACTGCTGTTCAATGCAAATGGTTCATTTCAAAAAGTGCTCCAGAACACCGGCTCTGCCCGAACATGAAACAGTGGAAAGTGCCTGTCAGGGTGTTGGTGCCCACGTCAACGAATCATCCAATTTATTATCCTGATGGAAAAACACTCACTGCAAGATATTTTGATCTAATTAAGCATCTGCGTTTCTACGAACTCCCCCGTCATTTTTTTTTAAGATTGAAGAGGACTGATAAGACATTTGCCAACATATTACTTGAAACCTGTGCGCAGTGGCGCCAAACTGATGCTAAATCAGGTCAGAATCATCTTGCTGTGCCGAATAGTGTCTTTGATGATGCCGCTCAGTCTGCACTGTTGATTACACACACACACATATACAATATAATGTATACATATATATATGTGTGTGTGTGTGTCATGCTTGGTGTCTGGTCAGCTCATGTCGGAGTTTTTTGGGCTTTTTTTTCTTGTCGTGCGGCATTATTATGTTTACTGGAACTGAAAACTACTGAAAAGGTTTTTCTTCCTCCACCGTCGGTACCGTCTGTCTTCATGTTGACTGTATAAATACTGTGTGTCTTTGTCTTGTAGAGTGTTGTACTGTTCTGCATATGTGTCGTGTGCAAACATCAATTCTTTATTAAAGTCCTAATTTTCAGACGCAAAGAGAGAGATCGTTCTTTTAGTACCTTCATGAAAAAAAGTACAATAACTGAAGGCTATAAGAGTTTCACTCAGATCCTCTTTTATTGAAGGAAAGCAAACACACTTGGAGCTGAAATGCAGCAGTGAGAGCAAACGCTCGGCAGATCCAACAAGAAGATGTCGTATCTCCTCAATTTAAAAAAAAACAAGCATCCCACGTTGTTTTACAGGTTCTTTGTTCATTTTTCTTTCAGGTAAATTAAAGGAGAGTTGAAGGAGAAAAGCTCGGAGCACATTCATGAGCTAGAAGACGAGGATTGGGGAAAACCAATCAGATGTTTTTGTAATCAGGAAGAACAGACTCTATTTCTGTCCTGTACTTTAGACATGAAGAGCTCAGGATGTCACATTCAGTGAAAGTCTTCAAACAGAACAGTCTTTTTTCTACGTGTGTTTCATGTATGATCTAATGTGGCTTCTAAAAACCTGAATGCTTCCAGGACACTGAGCCACGTGCGATCGGTTTAAATGAAAAGCTCCAGATCACTCAGCTTGCATCTGGCTTCTTTAAATTAGCACAACAACAGGAAACAACTAATCTAGTGCTTCTCAAAGATAATAAATCCACCTAACAACACCAACAACAAGCACGTTTTCACCTCGTCTGTATGCTAAGCTAAGCCCTCCATGTGCCGGCAGCACCTAAATATTCACCAAATAAAATCTGTCTTTCCACTGAACTCCCACCATCAAACTATTCTTTGTACTAATGAAGTAACAAGCGTGAAGGTAATTAAAAAAACGACAACAGAAACCTCGTAGAGCCCGTAAAGAGCAGCAGTCCTCCACCAAGGCCAGTCCTAAAGCAGCGATCCAGTTCTGGTTCAACATGTGACGGGTTCTTGCTTTGGCCCTGTTCCTCCTCGTTTCATGACATCCAGCCAAGCGGCTCTCCTCCAGTCTGCTGATGGACCAACAGGCAACAACAAACGTTCCTGGAAACACCGCTGAGAGCGAAGCAGCAACATCTGGGGCTGAAAATCAGACGAACCAGATCAACCCTAACCCTACGAACATCAAGGTGCCAGAACTGCAGTTCCTCAAATGGCCACTTGAGGCTACAAACGCAAGTCAGTTCTCGTAGAACCCCGTCTTCAAGTGCTGCTAACCTAAATGAACGCGCTCGCAGCCTGCTGTTCTAATTGGTTTAGGTCTGGTGGGCATTTCATGTTCATGACGACAGCACAGCGTTTCATACAAGCCACTCATTTAACTGTATTAAGACTTAAACTCTGAAATCTGCTCTGACAGACAGGTGGAGACGTTGGCATGGCTCGCCTCAGCTCCTATATTCATGGATTAGCTGCGAGGTACGAGGCGTCACGCTGAGCGTCCTGGAAGCCTGACTTCATCTGTCTTTATCCGCACACGATGGGAGGACTGGGTTTATCACATGGAACCGCTCATTGACCACTAAGCTACGACTTTTTGTACAAATGATGTAAAAAGTAAAGTTATTGTGGTTTAAGTCGCTCTCTGGTCACTGATGAACATCTGAAGCCTCGTGTCTGTTTCACGTCAGCTTTACCTCCTACCTGAACCTTCTGACCCGAAGCGGCTCACATGCAACCCTAACCCTGACCTCTACAATGTGCAGATTTATCTGTCACCGTACAGCCCTTTCCACTCACTGCAGCTCCAGCACACCGGCTCGCCTGCTTCTCTGCTCAAACACTGTGAAACTGCTCCAGGAGCAGTTCAGCCACACGTTTGAACCAGAAAGGTTCTCAAATAGAATGACGATACAGACAGAGCAGCACATAGAAATCACCACAGACAGTCATGAGCAAGGCAGAAAAACAGAAGAAGACTTCTGAAGCTCTCCTGGTGCTGCTGGCTCTCAGGCTTTCAGCCAATCAGCTCCGTATAGGAGTCCTACACACACAGACTCTTTACGGCACTCTTGGTAAGAAAGCAGATGTTTTCCAAAATGTCAAACTACTTTCTCAGAATCATCTCATAGCCTTCTGTGAGCACTGCAGGCCTCCCAGAGAGCGTTTAATCCAGCAGCACGTCCTCCTTTATGGGACTGCATTAAAGCCTTCTGCTGCTGATTCTGCTC